TGCACCGTCGCTGAGAGAGGGTAGGTGGCGCCTGCACCATCGCTGAGAGAGGGTAGGTGGCGCTGGCACCGTCGCTGAGAGAGGGTAGGTGGCGCCTGCACCGTCGCTGAGAGAGGGTAGGTGGCGCCTGCACCGTCGCTGAGAGAGGGTAGGTGGCGCCTGCACCGTCGCTGAGAGAGGGTAGGTGGCGCCTGCACCGTCACATCACGCTCGCACGATCGCTCTGCCATCACGTTTGTTGCTCTGTCTCGCTCGCCTTTGCTCATTGTCTCGATTGCGATCGTGCTTCCCTCGCTAGAGAATGCTGCGTAGAGTGCTCGCCGAGAGAGGCTAGGGGCATATTTGTTTGGTCGGATCCACGGATCTCGATCCACTGGATCCGTGGATCTGACTGTTTGTTTGGTCGGATCCACGGATCTCGATCCACCGAACCTGACCCTGCTAGTGAGGTGGATTCGAAGGGGATCCAATATGGCGGCCCGCGCCTCAGCCAATCACAGCTTGTTCTTTGCTTTAAACCATCCCGTGATAGGTCAGAGCGAAACGCGAACCATTGAAAGTGAGTTTGTATTTGTTTGAGGCGATCTGGATCAAGTGATCCTGATGAGACGGATTCGTTCCAAACAAACGCGCCCTATGTCATCACGCTGCGTCTTGCTGCGTCGCACCCTGCCATGACAGTCGCCACGTCGTGCCTGCGCCACGCTGCCCCCCGTCATGCTCACGCCCACGCTCTCTTACTGATGCTTACAGACATCCCTCACTACACCTTGCTTGACACTGTCTTCTCGGCAACCTTACTGACGCTCGCACACATCCCTCACTGCACCTTGTGTTACACTGCCTTCTCAGCACCTTACCGTGACGTACTCGAAGCAAATACATATATGAATCACTCTCATCTGAGCAATATGCAATATGAACACACATGATTCTGTGTAATCACTATGAATTCGGGCGGCATGTTTGTTTTGGGTGGATAATACGATCCGGATCACATGGATCCAGTGGCGCTGCAGATCACGAATTGTTGACCCTGCTGGCGAGGTTTTTATAGTACGCATCCATATTGGGATCCAATATGGCGGCATGCAACTCTGCCGATCCCTGCTTGTTGTTAGTTGTTAACTATCCTATGGTAGCTCACAGCGAAACGTGATTGGGGTAGCTCATTATTTGCGTTCGCTTGCGTAGTACAGTATCGAATAACGCAGATCAGACTGACCCCATCCCGAACAAACGATCCTTACATGTACGGTAAACTCTAGTTAACAGTGCGTGTAATAGTATATTGCACGGTGATGTAGTGTTGTTGCGAGTTTGTTCTCACCCTTGCGTTGCTGCGTAGGTTACGCGTGGGCGGAAGACAAAGAACATTGTGAGGAATACGGCCGGATGCTGAATGCTGATCCGTCAACAGTCAGCACTAAAGCGAAGAAACGTGGCTTGCCCCAGGTACGCTAGTTTTATACCCACACACGCCTCTCTCCATCAAAGGCATTTTAGCATCTCCCTGCTCCCTCCATTATACATGCTGTTACAGGCCTCCCTCCCTCCTCCCTCCATCACACATGATGTTACAGGCCTCCCTCCTTCCTCCCTCCACCATACATGCTGTTACAGGCCTCCCTCCTTCCTCCCTCCACCATACATGCTGTTACAGGCCTCCCTCCCTCCTCCCTCCACCATACATGCTGTTACAGGCCTCCCTCCCTCCTCCCTCCACCATACATGCTGTTACAGGCCTCCCTCCCTCCTCCCTCCATCATACATGCTGTTACAGGCCTCCCTCCCTCCTTCCCTCCACCATACATGCTGTTACAGGCCTCCCTCCCTCCTCCCTCCACCATGCATGCGTATATAAGGTTTCCCTCCTCCCTATATCATATAACTTGGTATAGGGCTATTAGAGAGTACTTAAGTGGCATCCTATTTCCTACAGCGAAGAATGGTATGGAGGGAGTTTTTGTGTCACTTTACGCTGGTGACGTCACGGTGACACTCGTGGCATGGTGTGGCGAGAGTTTGTCAATGTGTATCACGTTACGCTTGTAACACACAAGTGGCATTGTACGAAGGAATAAGCAAAAATCTAAAAAAAAAAAAGAAAAAAGAAATTAGTGTAGCTGCTGATCTCCCATAGCGCTTAAATAGGATATCGGCAAACAAAGGTGCAAAGACGGAGTGGAAAAAATAATTAATTTAATTGTCATGTGATCCAAAATGCAAGCAGACACGTACACGCTGATTAACTTGCCGCACATGTGCCAACATTTCAACGCACGGGAAAGTGATATTTGCTGTCGTAATGAGGATTGAAACCGTAAACTGATGATTTTAAACGTGTGCACGGTTTAGCAAACAACGACTGACAAAACACGGGCTTACAGTCATCGTGTAATGCACGCTGCTACGCGGAGGCTCAATTGTTATCATCAGCTATATATTACACGTGGATTTTCCGTCACGAATATTCATTCTGACTAGGTGAAAAAATGTTGAAAACACAAAAATCGAACGAGTAGGACAATAGTCCCTCCGGGGAGCGTAGGAAGCAGAGAACGGATTACATTAATATGCTCGCACAAATCCGCGGCACATGTAGGCAGCTGTATTTGCCGTAAGATGTGTGCGAAACGTGGATGCGATGTAGGCGCGCGCAGTTGTGCGGGTTCCCACGCGTAGCAAGCGAGGTGGGATGACAATCCCACGCAACAAAGTATGGAAGACCTGAGACGACATGCGACATTTTGAGTTTCCGAGTTTCTGAATTTCCCATCAATATATATAAAGTGTTGAGAGAGTCGTAAAAAATGTTTGAAGTCCAAAAATGAACACACTGCGCATGCGTTATTCCGTGACATTAAAGTCAGTTTAAATTTAGAATTGCCTACCGTGAGATTAAATGTGTGTTATTTTTATCAGAAAAATACAATTTGAATTTAAAGTCCCCTACCGTGAGAATAAATGTGTGTTGTTTTAAGCGGGAAAGAACAATGTAAATTTAGAATCCCTTACCATGAGAGTAAATGTGAGCCTTTTTAAGCGCGATAGCATAATTCAAATTTAGAATCCCCTATACCGTGAGAGTAAATGTGTGTTCTATTAAGCGGAAAAGCATAGGGCCTAATTTAAATTTAGAATCTCCGTCATAACGCATGCGCCATGTGTCTGTTTTCGACTTAAAAACATTTCTCAATGCATGTTCTCACGTGTTTACATTCTTCCCTGTGTGACTCTTGCTTGACCTCTATCTCCAGTCTATATATATAAAGTTGTTCAGCCGAATTAGTTCGTACTCGCATAACTAGAGAACTCAGCAGCCTAGAGGAAAACGACTAACTTCAGAATCAGCACGTCTGGGAGGTTTTAAAAATTTTAAAAAGTTTAAAAGTTAAAAATTCATAAAAATTCTATTCATCAATAGATGGCGGTGCATACAGATTAACATCATGTACGTGTGAATCCATGGGTATACCCTTAACGGTGCAGTGGCCTAATCGCTAGAATATCCGTCTCCTACACCGGGATTCCGGGTTTGAGTCCCAGCTGGGGAACTTATTTTCCACTTTTTTCCATTTTTTTCCTTTACATTATTAGTATGTATTATTTTAAATTTTTTTACTTTTTATTTTTTATATTTAATGTCTTTTATCTTTTTATTTCTTATTATTTTTTACTGTTTGAGATGGGATAGGATGGCATGGGATGGCATGAGATGGGATGAGATGGAATATGGGATGGGATGGGATGCGGTGCGATGGGATGGGATGGGATGGCATGGAATGGGATGGATGCATGGACCAGGATGCATGGATAGATAGATAGTTAGATTTTGTTGGGTATTTTCTATTCAACGAAGCGGTCACCAACTGAGTAATGCCACTGATTTCCCCGGGCAACGCCGGGTATCCCGCTAGTACTATATACGATACGAAATTCAGAAACTCGAAAACTGAAACTCAAAAAGTCGTATGTCGTTTCAGGGCTTCCATAACATGTTGTTAGCAGCGTGCGCACGACCGCGCAGTTTTTGCGCAGATGTTGCCTCGATCCGTCTCCGGAGATGTTTTGCGCAGAGCGTGTCGTTTTCGGTGCTTTGTTTAGATTTATTTGAAGTGTAGAAGTTACGAGCACTGACAGTATAGCTCACAGATAGTGTGATTCGTGAATAGTTTGTCGCTATAGACTACTAAATCAATCGCTGCGTTTTGCTAATTCACGCTTTCTAACACAAGATTTATATGTTAGTAGTGATATGTCATATATCTGGTGCATGTGGCGTGATGTGTGTGCGTGCATAATTGTGCGCGTGCGTGATTGCTTGCTTGTGGCTGACTGTAAAATGTGTTAGAATTGTGTTTATTGTCTTTCATTGGTACTTCCCCATATCACAGCGGTTGATTAATTTTACATATGTTGGAGAGTCCTGCTTGTAGATTAGTTTATAACAGCCTCGCGACCGATAATAAGTTGCATTTACTAAAATATTATTCTGTCTCTCAGTTTACACACTCACCCACCTCTTTCTCTATCTATATTTCTCTCTCTCTCTCTCTTTCTGTCTGTCTCTCTTTTTCTAACCTTCTCTTCCTATCCCCTTCTCTCTCTGTTATCTCTCTTTCTTTCTCACTCTCTCCCTGCCCCCTATCTCTCTTTCTCTCTCTCGCTCTTTCTCTGTCTCTCTCTCTCGTTTTCTTTTACATTCTTTTCTTCTTGATATTCCTCTCTTTCTCTGTCCCTTTTTCTTTCTTTCCATCTCTTTCTCTTTATCTCTCCCTCCCTCTGTGCGTGTCTTTCTCTTTTTTTCTCCCTTATGATCTATCTCTTTCCCATCGCATCACAATCCCCGCTGCGATCTACGATGATGTTAACACGGTGCTTCCCGTTGCCGTGACGATGTGAAGCTGGGAACGCTGGGCGCGGGCAACCACTACGCCGAGGTGCAGGTCGTCGACGAGATCTACAACAAGGATGCTGCGCGCAAGATGGGCATCGAGTTTCCCGGCCAGGTCTGCGTGATGATCCACAGCGGCAGCCGCGGATTCGGCCACCAGGTGGCGACAGGTGACGTGCGATTCGATGACTTGAATGTTGCGCGAAATGATTTCCCGACTGCGATGAACTCTACGATGACTACTGACGAAAGTGATTTTCGCGAAATGAAAACACGCGGCGTGTTTCCGCGTGTTTTCGGTGGCTCTGCGAATTTCCTCGATTTTTTGGCAGTCCCCTGCATCGACCCTGTGAAATGTCTAACGTCGATGAGGGTTTAGAATATAAGTGCGTGTGTTTATTAAGAGAAGCTACTTAATGACCCTCATCACGATCATCAAGGTCATCAAGTTTGCTATTTTATTAATGAAAGCAAGCCTTGAAGGAAATGTAGTCCCCCAAACAGGTACGCAAAACAGAAATGAGTGAATATGTTTTTTTATTGAAAGGATAAAGATTTCCGACTCATTGGAATGAGAGCAGGTGGCTAATATAAATGTTGGATTTACAAGGATTCAGTTGTTTATTATACTGATTATGCATAGACTGACAGAGAATGATAGATCTCTCTCTAGATAGAGATATCTCTAGAGGATATGGGGAATGACTGAGGTTTTCCTCTGTAGTATACTGATAAACATGCTAAACCACCTGGTGCACCTAATTAATTAAAATGTCAAATTCGAAAATAGTGATCAAAGTTCCCTAAAAAAATTTTGACAAAATTTTCTAACCTCAAACTGAGGTGACGTTGAAAGCTGTGACGTGTCTAACAATCACACATCATCAAAGGCATGTCAGAGCGTCCAGACGTCCCCACCACCCGGACTGCCGAGACGAAAATGCATCACTGCACTCGGCAGCTTGCTTCTAAAATGGTTCACCGTGTGTGTGCGTGTGCGTGTGCGTGTGCGAGTGCGTGTGCGTGTGTGTGCGTGCGCGTGCGCGTGTGCGTGTGCGTGTGTGGTGTGCGTGTGCGTGCGTGTGCGTGTGTGTGTGTGTGCGTGTGTGTGCGTGTATGCGTCGTGTTTGTGGGTGCGTGCATGTGCGCATACATGTGTGCGTTCCTGCATGTGCGTGGGTGTGCATGTGAGTCTGCGTGTGTGCGTGTGCGTGTGCGTGTGCGTGTGGGCGTGTGTGTGCGTATGTGTGCGTGTATGCGTCGTGTTTGTGGGTGCGTGCATGTGCGTGCGTGTGCGTGTGAGTCTGCGTGTGTGCGTGTGCGTGCGCGTGCGCGTGCGTGCGTGCGTGTGTGTGTGTGTGTGTGCGTGTGTGTGCGTGCATGCGTCGTGTTTGTGGGTGCGTGCATGTGCGCATACATGTGTGCGTTTCTGCATGTGCGTGCGTGTGCGTGTGCGTGTGAGTCTGCGTGTATGCGTATGCGTGTGCGTGTGCGTGTGGGTGTGTGTGCGCGTGTGTGTGCGCGCGCGCGTGTGTGTGTGTGTGTGTGTGTGGGCGTGTGTGTGTGCGTGTGTGTGCGTGTGTGCGCGTGTATGCGTCGGGTTTGTGGGTGCGTGCATGTGCGCATGAATACATGTGTGCGTTCCTGCATGTGCGTGCGTGTGCGTGTGAGTCTGCGTTTGTGCGTGTGCGTGTGCGTGTGTGGTGTGTGTGTGCGTATGTGGTGTGTGCGTGTGTGTGTGCGTGTGCGTGTGTTGCGAAACGTTCTCTATGGGTATGTTTATTTTTGCATTCGACACATTTCTCTTCAGTAAACATACCGTAGCTATGCAATTCCTGTTTTCATTGCCGAAGTCTTTCACGCTATGCTTATTATGTTGTCTTTTTTTAAACTCATTATTCAAGTAGCATTTCTTATTCTCTTCTTCCTTCCGTAGCGTGAACATATGCTATTATGGTCGCAAAAGCAATCCAGGCAACGTATATATATGATTACGCATAGACTGATTGATATATATATATATATATATATATATATATATATATATATATATATCCATTTGTCTCTCTCCCGTGGATGACTCGTTGAGGCGTCAACATGCTCGCGCGTGCGTGCGTGACGTCGTTGCTTATACCGTGTGATCGCAGCATTGGGCAGTGGCCCGTGATAACTGATATGCCTTAACGCTTTAGTAGACACGCAGGCGACGGATAGTCTGCACGAACATTAACGATCACGCCAGGCTTCTTGCCACGTGTGGAAGCAGAAAAAGTTGACTCTAGAGGTTCTTTCGTTCGCCTCTCTTGTCTCTCTCCTATGTCATATGTCCTCCTTTCATTTTTCTTCCTTCGTATTTTTCTCATCCCACCCTTCTGTCGCCACTTCTATTTGGTCCCCATACGTCACCCCCCCCTCCTTTCTCGTTATCTCTCCTATATCTCTGTCTCCCCATTACTTCCACTCTTATCTTTTTCTCTCGCCCCTGACTTACCACTGTCCCTATCTCCACTCCCCTTTATGTAAGAGCTGGTGCTACCATTTTCCTACAGCCCCCCAGCTCCTTTCCAGTCTCCCTATGTACTTCATTCTTACACCCTGGTCTTCTTCCCTCTCCCCCCATCTCATGACTTCCCATCTCCCGATTCTCCCCTCTCCTTTCTGCTCTTTCCTCTCCCTCTCTTCCCTAACCTTCTCTTTTCTTTCCCTTCACTCTTTTATTGCACGTCATGTTGCCCATGTGTCATTGTAATTTTCATTGTCATTGTCACTGTCATTGCGTTGTTGTGTACTTACAGATGCCCTGGTTGCTATGGAGAGAGCCATGAAGAGGGATAAGATACAGGTCAATGACCGGCAGCTGGCGTGTGCGCGCATTGCCTCTAAGGAGGGCCAGAACTATCTGAAGTCAATGGCAGCCGCCGCTAATTTTGCCTGGGTCAACCGCAGCAGTATGACCTTCCTCACACGCCAGGTAACTGTTAGCGAATCCGTGATTAGAATTAATACACGGATTAGATTAGATATCTACTCTGTGGAGTAACATAACTTCTTGTCTTGTGCTAAGTGAGAGAACAGGTGGATTAGGCAGGCGAGGTGAGAACGTGCGAGTGTGTGGGCGTGGTCGTGGTGACCGTGCCTGCACACGCAGCTCGGTTAGCTATCAGCGCGAGAATACTATGATTATTGATTCCAAGCCCGTCGCTTTCTCTCGTCCCCTGCATTCATTCCCCGCAATAAATCTACTTGCGGCAGCATCGCTCGGGGAGTGCTAACAAAGGCTAACGACGGCCTGACCATGCGTGACACATCGCATCACACTACGTGGAGGGCTAGAAATGAACATTTGAACGGACTCCCTGCCTTCAAAAAGAGTCCGTCGCAAAATGAGGGAGTTCGCAGTCTGAAGTTCAAAACTAAAGCATAACAACAATAATGCATGCGCGTATCTTGAAGGTTCGTGCGGTGCACGTCTGCCAAATTTTCTTTGGACATTTGCTGGAAAAATACGGTAATTCCGCGAAGCCGTGCTTTGGAACGAACTAGTTAGTATAGCAGAATTTTCAGGGAGTTACACGGACTCCTGCATATGTCAAATCAGGGAGTCGGACAGTAAATCAAGGAGTATTTGACTCCGGACTCGCGCTCGCGTTACTTGTATTGCGCGTGAGCGGTGATGCTTAACGAGCGAGGTGGTTTAACGAGCGAGGTGGTCGCCCCGCTGTGCTGCACTCGCAGCATATGACGTCTGTAGGTAATCACTCGGCAGAGGCTGCGCTAGCATCCCTGACTTCGCACCGCTTCCTCATCCTCTGCATTAGTTCGCTGCGTGTCAGTAATCACGGCAACTCTGTCTCTCTATGTCTCTCCTCTCTCCCTCTCTATCTCCTTCTCTCTCCCTCTCTCTCGCTCTCCCACCCACACACTCGCCTTCCCTCTTGCTGTCCATCCCTCCCCTTCTCTCTATATCTCTCTACATCTCTTTCTCCCGTTTTCACATGTACCCTGCCAATGACCTCGATGTCGACGCTTGAGTATGCCAGGGTGATTATTGTTATGGCTGCGGAGAGCGAGTGAATGATGCGGACTGCAGCATGCGGCGATGGGGGGCAGTGGTAGACATGCAGCATGCGGCGATGGGGGGCAGTGGTAGAGGTGCAGCATGCGGCGATGGGGGGCACGGGGGTGGTAGAGGTGGCGGTCGCGAAGGCGATTGGGGGGGCACGTGGAATGAGGGTGCAAGCTGCGGCGATGGCGGCCGTGCAAGTGGTAGAGGTGCGCAGCCTGCGGCGATGCGGGGGCGGTCGGTAGAGGTGAGCATGCGGTGATGGGAGGGGCAGTGCAGAGGTGCAGATGCCCGGTGATGGCGGGCGGCAGTAGGTAGAGGGTGCAGATGCTGCAGATGGGGGGCAGTGGGTAGAGGATGGGCCGGTTGCGGCGGAAGGCGCAGTTGATGAGGAGAGAGACAGCGGTCAGGGAGACACGGTGGAGAGAGGTAGTATAACATGATGTGCGCCGAAGCATTTAAGAATACGAGGGTTCGGTTGAAAGAGTAACGATATGACACAATGAGGTAATTGGTGTGGTTTAGGTTTGATAACTAGATTGTAAGAGTCACGTTAATTGATACGTCACGATATTTTTCATGGTGAATTGTAAAAAAAAAAATTGAATTAAAAGTAGAACAATAGGTATAAAATATATCCTCACTATCACTTGATAAATGTTTTTAGTTTGGTTAAATTCGCAAAAATCTAGACGATTTCGGTAATTTCTAGTCTCGTCTAACCTATTCCACAGTATTTGTGCAGATATGCGTCATCTGTTTTCTCCACGGCAATTAGGTCTATAGAAGAGGTATATAAGCTGAAGTACAGAAACACTAATTGTTTTTCTACATTTTATTGTTGTCAATTAACACACAAATTAATACTTGATGGTGCTAAAATTGGTGACTATGAGGTTTAATTGAAGGTGAGAATAAGCGTGTTGGGGTATATGCTCAGGTAGGATGATATTTATGGCTGATCTGGCTGATGGTACCAGACAAGTGGTATGCTCTCGCTAGATGATATTTATTGCCGACCTATGATGGTACCAGACAAGTGGTATGCTCTCGCTAGATGATATTTATTGCCGACCTATGATGGTACCAGTCAGTGGTATGCTGTCGCTAGATGATATTTATTGCCGACCCGCAACGGTACCTGACTAACGGTGGTTCTCTACGCTGTAGTCACATGATGCTTTTTCTTCGCAGGCCTTCGCGAAGCTGTTTACGACGACCCCTGATGACCTTGACATGCACATCATCTACGACGTGTCGCACAACATTGCCAAGGTCGAGGAGCACATGGTTGATGGCCACCAGAAGACTCTGCTTGTTCACAGGAAAGGAGCGACGCGAGCGTTTCCGCCGCATCATCCTCTTATCCCGGTCGACTATCAGGTGCGTTTCCTGTCTCGCTCTCCTCCTCTTATTCCTATTATCTTGTTATCCAAGCACCCATTCTTCCTGAGCCCGTCGCCACCACCTCACCTCCATCCCTCCGTCCGAATCACCCCCACCACCACCACCTCACCCACATCCCTCTGTCCGAATCACCTCCACCACCACCTCACCCCATCCCTCCATTCCACTCACCTTCACCACCACCTCACCCCCATCCCTCCATCCCACTGACATCCACCACCACCACCACTACCTCATGCCCTCACCCCCTCACCCCCTCACACCCTCACTCCCTTCACCCCCTCATCCCCTCACCCCAACCATCCCCTCACCCCCTCATCCCACCACCCTCTCATCCCCTAACCCCAACCATCCACTATTACCCTCATCTCCTCACCCCCTCATCCCCTCATCCCACCACCCCCTCATAATCCCACCCCAACCATCCCCTCACCCCTCACCCCCTCATACCCTCATCTCCTCACCCCCTCATCCCCTCATCCCACCACCCCCTCATAATCCCATTATCCCTTTCAATCGCCGTCGGATAACGGCTGAGGTAGTAAAGTTTGTGATCGGCTGAATATAGCGGAACTGCTGCATGTCGTAACGCGTCAGTGCTCATCATAATTACGGTCAGATTCCAAACGTTTAACAACATGATTGCATGTAAAATTATCATCTGTGCTAGTCGTGGGTAACAATGGATTTAATTACAGGGTTATGATCATGCGACTCGTAGTCAAGTGAATTAAAAGCTTAAATTACTGGGTAATGGTTATAAAATTCTAGATTCCCCATCGTCCTAATTATCTTTGATCGGCAGATAAAGTCTAATATTTATGAATATAATTATAATTTGTTAGTTTAATTATTCATTAATTGATGCATATTAAGAGCCGGGGCATCTTCAAAGAATCTGAAATTTCTCTAAATCATATGAAAGTAATTTCTAGGTTCTATTAATAGATTCGGTGTGAATTTAATGCATACTATAATCTGATATAGAGAATAATGTATTCAGGATTTTATGGGTGAATTCATTTTTATTGTCACTGTTGGCGTTGTTGTGAACGCAGTAAGAGACTGTATGAATGGAGAAAGGGAGAGAGACGAAAAGGGGAGAATGAGAGAGAATAAGAGAAGGAGATTGAAAGAGATGAGAGTGGGGAGGAGGAAAAGAAAAAGTAGAAAAGGAAAGGTCGCTATCATCGTATACATTTGGACATTTGTGCGGAAGAAAAACACAGAATGATTTCGAAAAGCAATCAGAAAAGGATCATGTGTAATATACCTGCCGCAATGTAATGTAGCTTGGTGACAAAACTGCGTATGAAAGTGTTCAGCATAGCGGGGTGAACAGCCAGGAGGGATCAATTGATAGTATCTATGAACGGAAATACGTATAGCCTACAGTACAATATAAATGTACAGCATACAAGGTATTATTCTTATATCAATGTGTGTGCGTGCGTGCGTGCGTACGTGTGTGCAGTGCTTTTAAGCTTGTGTGTGTGTGTGTGTGTGTGCGTATGTGTGTGTGTGCGTGCGTGCGTGCGTGCGTGCGTCATGCATTCGTACGTGTCTGCGGTGCTTTTAAGCTACATACTACTGCTATGGTAGAGAACAGCAGTACAGCATGCACCTGGCAGTACATATATATATATAAATATATATATCAGGAGTTAATAATGACAAATTTATGTTTTGTTATTATTAACTCCTGATATATATGTATATATAAAAATATGTTCACTGCTAACTTTGTGTAGCATCTTCTTAAAGGGACAGTAGCCTCTAGGATTTTACTGCATACAACTGTACTTACTGTATAACAAATCGTCTATACCCACACGTATTTGTTACCAGATACATAATTTAATTGTTATAATTAATTACACATCAACGCTACTAAATTTGAACGGCGCCATGACACCCGCGACCGTGCTGCCACCCCGAAAAAGTTGCGTATTTGACAATTTATTTTGCACGTTACAGACCGAGGGCTAATCACAAAAGTGCAATTATATTTATACCTAAATGCTATTTAACCGAACGATATTCATTTTAAGGGAGGCAATTTATCCATATTAATACTTGAAACTATCATGCATCGTTGTATAAGATATATAGCATATCCTTTTGCTTTTAAATGAAAGCAATAAGAAACACCCTCGTCTTAGCCCTTGCTGGAATAGAGTTGGTTTTACGCAACGTGTATCAATCGTTGCGCTTTTGACTGGCGCCTCGGACGCGTCGCCGTTCGCTCAGATGCAAACTGTAGTCCGTTAGCTTTGTAAAACATTTAAAAAAAAATATCTACTATCGGTTGATTGAACCATGAAACCTTTTATGTAGCCGTAATTATATAACCTAAATTAGCTGAAAATAACGCCTAAATAGCCTAGAGTAAACTCTGCGCCTTTAACAAAACAGCTTTATATAATCTATACAATGGCATAACAACATGCTCAACCAGCAAACTAATCTACGTGGGGAGAAACTCAAAGTAAAGTTTGCCCCCGTTAGAGGCTGTTAGGCTTTCTTCTTTACACATATATATATAAAATTAGTATGTTGTGTGTCGATGTGTGGCGTGCGTGGGTGCGGCTGCGTGCGTGCCTTGTGCGTCGCGTGCGTGCGTGCTGTGCTGTACTGATGTGCATGCATGTGTATTGTATAATCTACAAGTGTGTGTTTTCAGCTGAACAGGCCAGCCGGTGCTTCATTGGGGAACGACTGCGTACATGCAGCTACTGCTCAACCCGGCACAGACGCGGATTGAAGGAGACGTTCGGCCGACCTGTCACGGAGCCGTGAGGTGGCGAGTAGCATATCAAAGATAGAGATAGGAGATAGGGATATGTGAGGTCGCAGATATCAGATATTAGCGCATTGAGATAGGATAGAATAGAATTAGAGATAGAGAGGATATGGGATTAGGGTATACAGATTAGAGATAGAGATAGAGAGACAGTCTCGCGCAAGCCGCGGCACGATTCGATTGCAATGCGCAGCACCACATTGCATCAACCTGGGGGCCGTTCTCACAAAAGAAAATTAGTTCTAACATGTAGTAAACGCGGGTTGCCAGAAAGCTATCGTATGGTTACGGAGAACGCGGAAAGATCCTCGGGAAATCCTTATTTTTCGCTGCTCACATTACGCAGAGCCCGACCTTCTTGCTAACTTTAATATAACACGTTTACGGGTAAGACAGTACAATTATAGTGAGTATTTATTTTATAATACTAAGGATAAAATGTGTGTTTTTCGTGGATAGTCTTGTCAAAACTATTAATTATCTATCTGCATCGTAAACATAAACAAACATTTACAAATGGCGCGATGTTTTCTTGTTTGAGATATTTTGACGAAGGTCACGACTCTTGCCCCAGCTCTGCGGCTCGTTACAGCGTCAGAATTATGTCTCTGTTGTGCGAATAAATTCAAGACAGTGTCGTTTTTCATCAAATCATTATTTATTTGTGGTTACCTATCAGTGATATGCAATCAATTACTGTGTGCTATCAATAAATGTGTACTGAACCTTGAGTTTTGTGATCGATTCTCATCCAATCAGCACCTTGTTGACAATCAAATTTATGAAGTTCCTTGTTATCGTGAGTTTTCTCATAGCTGTGATGTTTCCTGTCAATCTGCTATTCTCTTACGCGTGTGTTTCTGAGCAACGCGCCCCCTGGCCCCCGCACAACATCGCAGCAACCTGCCCGGCGCGACTAGCTGCCTACTCTAACCTTGAGGACACACGCCACCTGAATCGTGCCTGCGTGTGACACACTCTAATAGCCAGTCGCGCTGCATAGGAACATTTCTAAAGGCCGATGGCTTGGCAACTGGAGTTGCACGGAGTGCGAGGGTTGTCTGGGAGTGCAATGATTAAATGTATAACCAGCCCGTTGCTTGACCGGCCTAGCAGCAATATATCATCGTGAGGGCAGGTGGTGTGGTCTTCGGCGCTCACACTCAGTGGTTCGTCCAAGCTTTTTCACTTTATAGGCATGGCGGAGGCTGCCTTTACAGTCTCTAGTTTTTAGCATTTTTAGCATTTCTTTAGCTAATTTTTAGCCACGGCGCGGCGGCTATGATATTTAGAGTGGCGGTTGCATTTTAGATATGGCTGCCGACTCTTGCTCAACTTGACCGATTACTGATCCCCTCAATCTACGTGCTGATGAGCCCTTCTAATGAGATTACGTCTCATCATTTAATTATCGTCATTTTGCTAAGGTCAATACTAATTCACTCGTCTGCCTGACTAGCTCATGCTGATTTGCCCTCGGCTCACGTGAAGGTGCCGCCTACAACGCACAACCTTCCGAGTTAGCCCTTTGCCCCCGCCGTTTCTCGCCATTTACCTCTTTCAAATCGTACGCTGTTTACGAATCTCCATTCGCTTGGATTTCCCCGCGAGCTCTGCCCACTTTAAAATATAGTGCATAGCCTTGCGGCAGTGGTAATCCTGAGTTGTACGCAAAGGGGCACTGCATGCAGTCTTGTTTCGCCCGCTTGCCCCGTTGCGCCTTTCTGATGTCACGATTCGGCCAGCTCTGTGTGTTGTGTCGTTGCCAGGCTTCCGGGCGTACTGCGTGCAAAGTCGCGCAGGAACCTGGATTACATGGAGGTACTGTGAAGAAACTGGAGGGCAAAGGGCAATTCGCATTTCCGCGTAGCGCCTCGCCAAGCTCGTCATGGATGGAGGCCCGCCGGAATCGTACAAGAACGTCACCGACGTCGTCGACACGTGTAGCACCCTTAACATACTCGGCGCGCTCCGTGCTCCGCGCTCGTAAGCACACGCACGCCACAAATGCACACGCACTGCACACGTGGATCACAAACAAAGCAAGCACGCCTTGGACGCCCACACTACACGCGCCGCACATGCACACGCTGATGCACACGTGCCACACAACACAAGACGCAAGAGCGCGCTCTGCACGCAACGCACACACAGGGCGCAGCTATGCAGCACG